ATTTGAGCTAGACGCCACTCCCACCCGAGGGGCCCCTAGTGCCTGATCAGACAGGCAGGCTCGGCCTCCAAGCCTTGTCTCAGGACGGCTTCTGGGCCTAAGGCTCATGCGGTCCTGTCTGTTGTGGACTCACACTGGCCTCTGCTCTGGCCGGAGGTGCCCTGGTGCGTCAGGATCTGTGGTGGCTCCTTCCTCCTGCTGGGGACTCCTGGAGGGGCTGGGCGGAGATTTTGCTAGTTACATTGACCAGGGCCGGTGTCTTTCAGAAAACCTGGGTCCCCCGTGATGATGGCTGCCCCTCATTGCATTTGTGTCCTTTAGCATTACACTCTTTCTTGGTGAACTGTGGCAACCCCCAGCTCCCCTACCCCCACAGCCTTGACCTCTGGCAGTGGGGAAACTCCTGCACAGTGGCCCTGTCCCCACAGCCTTGGCCAGAGCCTGTACTGAGTGGGTCCTCACTGACCAGCCCACCTCCACTTGGGAGCTGGGTGGAACCTGGGCCCGACCTCACTGGGCTCACTGCCCAGGGCGCTGGCATGTCGGGGCTCCCAGGACTTGGCATGGCTGCTGGTCCCATCAGTCCCTGGGTCTCTAGCTCGGGTGCAGGCCTCTGCTTTCCGCCCTCCTTTGTGTATCAGGTGTTCACGCAGCCCCGTTTACTGGGGAGCCTGTGGGTCCATGTGGTCCTTCCCCTGCCCCCTGCCCCATGGTCCGCGCCTTGGGGGGTGTTGGGGGCTTGTACTGTGAATCAAGTGTTCACATTCACACTTAATGAATTCCTGGCACCAATCATGTATTTCACCTTTGCACTTTTGTATTTCAATAAAAACGGAGACAGAAACTGCCCGTCAGGCTGTCAGAGAAGTGGGTGTGGAGGTTCAGGGCGGGGTGGGGTTGTGGCGTGGCTGCGTGAGAGCAGCAGATGGGGCATTGGCCCCTCCCCACCCACCCGGCCCCCTTCCTCCTCTCGTTCATTTGTGAGCGGGTATGAGGTCAGCTTCCTGACCACCTTCCCCGTGTGAACAGTCACTTCCATTGTGGGTACCCGCAGCGTTCCCACCAGCTGCCACAGGCAGTAGCCTACGACCAGGGCCGCCTCTGCCCCCAAATGGAGTGGGCTGGGCGGGGCCGACAGTACGGGCTTTGGAGTCAGACAGGGTTTGAATCCTAGTTCCACCACTCACCAGGTCTCACTGGTAAGACATTTACGAGCCCCACCTCTGAGACGGCGCCCTCCTTTTTCCGAGGGTGAGAAATAGCGTGCACAGTACGTATCAGAGCGCCTGCCCAGTGGTAACGAGGATGGCCGTCCTTTCACAGGTGAACGAGGTGCCAGTCCCACCTGTGCAGCAGCTGGGCTGGAGACCCTCACCTGACCATTCCACTCCTCCCCTACCTGCCCCTGCTCACACGGACGTCCTGGAAGTTCCTGTTTTCCATTCCTCTTTTGAGGTTTTGCTTTGATTTAGAGGTTAAGATGGTAACGTTTATGTGTATTTTACTGCAACGTCTAAAGAGTGGTTTGTCACCGAGGGGGTGGGCCAGAATTTCTCTGGGCACAGTCGTCAAGGTCAAGTTCAAGCAGTTAGCTGCTTGCCTGCCAATGGCAATCAGGAGACAATGGAGGCCTCAGGTGGGCCTCTTCCTTTTTCTCATCATTGCTCGCTCGGGCTGCGGGAGCCAGGCCAGAGCTGCAGGGTCGGCTGTGTTGTCGGAATGTGGTTGTACACACAGGCACTGAGCTCCAGGCAGCTGGTCCTGCTGCACAGCCGTGGCCCTCACCCAGGCAGCTGGGACAGGAGGCCCTGGCGGCCTCTCTGGCTCTCCTCCGGACTGTTTAGAAGGGAGGGGCCGTGACCCAGGGCAACAGGGAAGGGAGCACGAGACAGAGAGGGAGCTGTTTACTTGGGTTGGGCTCCTGGCAGGGCCTCAAAAGCCAGTTTACCCCTGGCTTAGCAACAGCGGGTCTCTGGGGACGGAGTGCAGGGAAATGCTTGAGAGGGGCAGGCCACCATCGTCGGACCTGGGGACACTGAACACTTCGCTTCTGGGGGTTCCCAAGTGAAGGTGAGGACACCAAGAGATGCCATGCCACGGTTTCTAACCCAGGGGTTTGCCACCGCCATCCCGACTGGCTGTGCGGTCAGTGTCGCGTGTAGTTAACTGACAAGCAAGGGCTCCCACAGCCCACCACAGCAGCAGTGGGCAGCCCGCTCTTTTCAGCCTCAGGTTTGGGTTGACATCAGAAATTTCTAGCTAGCCCTGTCCTGGGGCCAGGCTTCCGCCTGAAGGGGAGGGCAGGCAACCCCAACAGCAGGTGCCGAGGTCTGTCAGGCAGCTGGTCTCGCCTCCACGACTGCCCCTGCCTCTGGGGTACTGGCTCCGCTTTTAGCTCCCTGCCCCTGCTGCCGTGGCCACAAACTAGGAGGCAGGAGGGGGCTCTGAAGGGGCGGGGCTGAGACGCTGGCTACACCAGTGCCCAGGCTAATCCCGCAGGCTCTTCCTACTTTCTGGACTCCCTGGAGACCACGCCAGTACCCTGGGCAGCTACACGAACCGGCACATGTCCTTGACTTCCTGCTACTCACTCAACCCCTCCCCTTCAATCTGGTGTGTTCAGCCACAACCCCTCATGCCAACGGCAAACAGATCCCAGGCAACCTGGGGAGCCCCACCCTACACACACACACACACACACACGGCAGAGACCTGGGTCTTTCCCTGAGTGGAAGGCCTTCCGTGGCCTCCGGGCCCGGCTGAAGGGGGAGCCCTGTGGCGTAGGGGGAGTAGGGAGCTGCTAATGGCGATTTTGTTTTAAGCTCCTACACAGGTACATCTACCTCATACACATCATCTCACTGAACATTCACATGAAAGCCCCTGAAATAGGTACATTACGGCCCAGGGAAATGAGGCACAGGTTGCCTGACCAGCCCCAGGCCTCGGAAGCCCCGCCCTGCTGCGCGCTGCATGGCTCTTCCCCTTCCTCGGCGCCCAACGGCGCCCCATGTCTGCACAGAACTGGGAGGCAGTGGGCTGGGATTTTAGACAAATGCAGGACAGAAAGCTGTAAAGTACAGAAAAAGAATTTATTGGAAATCTCTTGAATACATTTTAAAGTATAACAGTATTTCCAAACAAGGTAGGCAGAAGAGGGGAGGGGCTCTGCCACCTGGAGACAGATGGCCACTCCCAGCCCCATGCTGGGGTCAGTCTGGAGCTCACACCTTTCATTGTCCAGGGCTGAGGGGCAAGGGCCAGCCTTGACAACTGCTGTGCTCCTCCCAGGCTCAGCCTACCTGGCCTCTGGCTGCTGGGGTCCTGGAGACAGGCTGCCGCCTGCACAGGCCAACTGCCAGAAGTCGAAGAGGACAACGGCTAACACAAACAGGCCTTTCCATGCTTGGCCTTAAAAGGAGGGCAGTGGCTGGGACACTGGAGCTGGTGGGGGACGATTAGTGACCCGCAGTGGGCCTCACTCTTCTCAGTGCTGGCGCCTGGGGGCACACCTGATCGGTTCAGCCGGTGTGGGTGTGCTCTGGCCAGAAGACCGGAGGGCCAGGTGGACACTGCTGGGAACATTTCTCTGGCAGTGGAGCACACGCACAGGGGCAGGGCTCAGGCTAATGGAGACAGTGCGAGAGCCCACTCAAGCCCTCAGAGATCAGCCTTGCAGGTGGGAACGATGTCACATGCATTTACTAACAAGCAGTTGAGGGCCACGTGCTCCACTGCAGAACAGCTGCGCCCCATGAATACCCCAGGTGGACCGGAGGAAAGGGGGCGGGCCCAGGTCTCCATGCCCAGGACGACCAACAGGCTGGGAGAGCGACAGATGGCATAGGGGGGTGAGGCTAGGCCAGGCACCTGACTTACTCAAGTAACAACACCCGAGGGGTTAGGTCGATCATATCCCCAGCTTCAGCTTCTCAACAAGGAACCAATACACCCAGTAAACCTCAGGGCAGCAGAGACCCTGGGGTTAGAGGAAGGTGATGGCCAGGCCCAGGCGAAAGGAGGAAAGGGCCCACGACCCAGCCCTGAGAAACAGGAACAAGTACCCCAGAAGGAGGGGCCCGCCTGGGCTTCCCTGGGCTCACCGGTGGGCACCACGTGCGGCACAACGCTAGGGAGTCGCCACGTTTAGCACCCAGGGCTTCCTAGGCTGCCAGTCACTGCAGAAGCCGAGAGAGATCCAAGGCTCTCACCAGGAACAGAGGCGTCCAAGGTAAAGCCTGTTGTCAGTTCAAACGCAGCAAGCCTGGGAGGCCCTGTGGCCCTCGCCAGCCCTGTGCGGGCTCCCACCTAAAGCACACGGGGAGGAAGATCCCCAGAGCAGCAACCTGGAACCTGAGGAACCTCCGCAGGCGGAGGCCCTGCCCCAGGAAGAGGCCCATCACCTTCCCCAAGTGAAAACACCTCACCTGAAACATATTTTCTCTATAAAATATCTGTCTTTGAAAGTAATAAATATTTACCATGTCCTACAACCAAGGAGCGGCAATGGGGGAGGGAGGAGACGAGAAGAGCCTCTGCTGTGGCCCCCAGGCCCGGAGACACAGGGCGGAGCCTGCGTGGCTGAGGGGCTGCACACTGGCAGCCGCCGGGGCTGCTCAGACCTTCTGTTAAGGGGGGGCTAGCACAGCCGTGAAGGGTGGGAATGGCTGACTTTGGAGTTCTCATCTTGGGCAGATGGCATCATATTGCCGAAAATACAGGCACAGGGGCAAAGGTGGGGAGAGAGGAAGAAGATACAGAACTGAAGGAGACGACAAAGAGCCTGAAGAAGCACTTCCTTCTTCCTCCCACAACCTCTCCTTCCTCTTTCTGCCTCCACGCGAGTCTCCGGGCCACCAGCTAGAATGTCGAATGGTTTGGTGGCAATAGCAGGCGGGCAGGCAGGCGGGCGGAAGAGGGGCCAGCTGCAGGGCAGACCTGGGGAAGAGGGCCCGGCAGCGGGAAGGAGGGATGACAGCCTCACTGGAGCAGCTGCTGACGGGCCCCGCCAGAGGCCCCTTTGTTGCCAAGGGTCTCCCCATCTCCAAGGCCAGAGGGTGAGCCCTTTCAGATGCTCTAACTGGGCCTGATTGCTGCCATGGAGAATCCAGGAGGTGAGAGCAGGGACTTCTGGGTCCCCATGGGGGAAACCAGCCTCCCTCTACCTGACTTGGAGCAGGACGAGGGGCGGGAGCAGCTGATGAGTGGGAGGCTCTCTGTCTCTTGGGACCACAAAAGGGGGCTGTTGCTGGTACTAGAGGGTGCCAACTTTTACTGCAGGGTTTCTACAAAGGCATCGAATTCTCGGACGTTCTTCTCGTGCACAGCCAGCTTCTCTGGGAGTGAGTCCTGTACCAGGAGGGGAGAAAAAGAGTTGCTCATTAGGGCAGGGTCTCGAAGCGGCAGCCACCCCGCCACCCAGCCACCCTGGCCTGAACACAGAAGAGAGCACAGCAAGAGCTCAGCTCAGCAGTGCCGGGCTGGGAGAGCGGGAGAGTGCGGGGCAGCTGAGCAGGCAGTGGAGAGAGGGCTTCGGGGTTTTGTGGGGGCTGGAGAAGGGGTTTAACAGGGTAGCCTGGGGAATCCAAGTGGCCCCCACACTTAATGAGATAGAAAAGGACCACACCAACAATAGAAGATTTCTTAGCCCTGGCTGGCGTAGCTCAGTGGATTGAGCGCGGGCTACAAACCAAAGTGTCACAGGTTCAATTCCCAGCCAGGGTACATGCCTGGGTTGCAGGTTATAACCCTCAGCAACCCCACATTGATGTTTCTCTCTCTCTCCCTATCTCCCTCCCTTCCCTCTCTAGAAACAAACAAACAAACAAAAAAACAATAGAAGATTTCTTCACACCCGGTGCTGGGCACCAGGACCCCCTGGGAGGCCCGTGAACAAGCAGTCCCAACCACACCCCTGACAGATCCTGACTCGGCACGTCTGTGGTGAGGCCTAGCAATCTGCATCTTGATACCAGTGAAGGAGGGGCAGGGCGATAGGGGGTGAGAGAATAAAAAAGAAAACAGAACTGTAAGAAATTAAGTTTAACTGCCCTCAGTTATCAACTATTAAAAAATCTGACCCTAATCCCTTGGTCTCCACTGAATAATTTGCATATGAGGTGTTTAAAGTTGCAGGGTGTCCAATCTGCAGCCCAGGATGGCTAGGAATGCAGCCCAACACAAAATTGTAAATTTACTTAAAATGTTATGAGATTTTTTTTTTGTAATTACGTGTGGCAATGTACTAAATGTGTGGCCCGGCATCTCTTCTTCCGGTGTGGCCTGGTCCAGAGACGCCAAAAGCTTGGACACCCCTGGTTTAAACTGTCACAGATTTCCAGAGAGGCACCAGGTATCCGAAAGAGGTGGGACAACCGACCCCCCCGCTGCAGAGCTCACAGAGTGGCCCAGTCGCACCGGGCAGCCTACCAGCTGGGACTGGCCGCAGCACCTTCTGCCGCAGCTCCTTCCAGCCACATTTTCAGTCAGAGGGTGGGGCGGGGCGGTATCAGTGGTTAAAAGCCTGAAGTCAGAAGCCAAAGCTCTGTTTTGCAGATTGGGCGTGACTATGGCAACTTGTTTGTTCCCAGTGCCAGTTTTCTGGTCTGTGACCCGGGGTAGCAAGAAACCCTTCCCCTAGGGGTTGTTGAAAAATCACGTAGAGCACTTAGAAAAGTGCTTGGCACATATAAAAGCCTCAATAAATGCTAGTAATAATGACATTATTGCTGTGCTATTAATGTTACTGAGCATGCATTTTTGTTTAAAGCCAAGTCAAGGGCAGCTGTTCCTAGAATCCTGTTCCTAGAGCCACTCCTTTAATTTCAATGTAGGAGGTGATACCTCCACTTCAGGCAGAGGGACCCTGACATCCTGTGACATGGGACACCCTGACTTTTGGGGCTGTTCAGGGCACCCCTCTGCCGCTCAGAGGCAGGAAATAGAGACCACCCTGGGGGAGAGTGGTAATCGTCATCAGTGTCAGGACAGCGCCCCAAACACAAGCAGTTAAGTACAGCTGAGGCAATGGCCTCCCCAGGGAAAGGGCCGGAATGCCGATGCTCAGGTGCTCAGTGGCCTCAGGGCTCTGCTCCCCTGGGCAGCTGGCACCAGCCTGGCAAGCTGAACGGCTGCATGTGAGAGCGGTTGGAGCAGCTTGGCTTAGTGGCATCAGCCAGTAGAAGACATCAGGCACCAACATGAGTGTGTAAGAAATGCTGACCGTGTGCAAAAGGAGGAAGTGAGCGCAAGCAAATTCAAGATAAGGACTGCTGGGCAAAATGCAAATGTCCAGTGGAATCAAAAGACAGACAATGGTCTAAAAGTGTCTCCTTCCCGTCCCAGGGAAGATGGGAGGTGTGGTGTTGGGGGAGTAACTGAAACTTCTGTGTCCGCGGAGCAGGAATGACATCAAAAGGGAAAGGGAGGTCAGAGGACAAGGTGGGTGGGGGAGGGGTTTCCATACCAAGTCCTCAGCCATGGACTGTGCCCCGATATCTATGGAGAGGCTGCTCAGCTGAGGGGGGTTCTGAAATTCACGATAGAAGGTCCCCAGGTCCATCGGAAGAATGTCATCCTTAGAAAAGGCCGGTTTCTTCAAAAACAAGACCAGACGCAGGTTAGCTGACCACGGACCGCTGAGGAAAATCAGAGCCGGAGAGCCCTGCTCCCTCCCAGCGGTCATCACAGAGAGGGCTGCGCCAGGCTTGTCTGAGGAAGACAACCTGCACGACAAGCCGCACCCTTTCTGTTCTGGGCAGCTGAATTCTAACCCTGCTGAGAACACGCCTCTTCCTCCTGCAAACTCCTTTCCTTAGCACAGCACAATCCACTCGAGCGTGAACAGACCCTACTGGAAAATCCCCACCTAGAGCTGAACTGCATCAGCAATGTCAGCCAAAGACACGGCGCAAAATGCCTTATTGTCCATGGCCTCCAAGCGTCTGCCCAAGCAGGCTCTGAGGGCAGGCTCCCCACGTGCACTGCCCAGCCAGGCAGGCGCCCGCCGGTCCCACCCCGTCTGCCTGTACTGGCCCTGCTGGCCCTGGGAAGGAGATCCCCTCTGAGTGCAACGGATGCCTCTAGGTTCACGTCCCCCAGGGCGGCAAAGTCAGGGGAGGAGACAGCCACTTACGAAGTCCACCATGACGAAGTCGTCGTGGGTGTGGCCGCTGCTGCCCCCACTGGAGCCCTCGGAGTGCAGGCTGCCTTGGAGTGGGGACCCCGTCCCTGGGGAGTCCGGAGGGTTCACCTGGTGCAGGGCAAGGCAGAGGAAGGGTTCTGTGCCCCGGGGCAGGGACTGTTCACAGTGGAGGGTTTGCGAGGGACCCGACCCTGGCTGCAAGTCCCTCAGCAGCCGGGCACGGCTAACGGTCTGCGGAGGGGCAGGGACGTGCCCAGGAGGCACAGGCACTGTGTCACTGGGAACTTTCGACTCACCATGGGGTCGACATCCTCCAGCTCTAAATTCTTGGGAGCAAACATAGCAAAGGGTATGTCCAAACTCGTCAAGGTCACCTTAAGAGTCACAGAAGAAAGCGTTAGTCCCTGCCCTTCCCCCAGCTCACATGCTTCTGTAGACGCTGCCGGGAGCCTGGGAGCCCAGCAAGTTCACACCCCGGCTGACCACACTGCCCCTCAGGCTCCTCTGGTGGAGACCCTCCAATTTCCACCGCCTCCCATCACGGGCCTACAGCACAAACAGGGGCTAGGGCTCCCCAAGACCCCAGACATGCAGCTTTGGAAGCTCGGCCCACAGTAACCCAGTAACGACTGTCCACTGGCTGAGCCGAGGAGGAGCTTCCTGTTTGGAGTCAGGCCGGGGCAACAGCGCGTCGGGCACTGCGCGCACTCGGCGGTGCCTAGCCTCTCGCTACCGTGGGGGGCTTGGCAGATCACAGAACAGTTCTCAGCTCTTCCTGGAGGGGCGTCACGGGTTACGAACCCTCTTCACAGAAAACCCACCATGCACGTATACAATGTGCAGGCGGTGTCAGTGGCTACGCAGACCCCAGGTTAACAGACCTGTCGGTAAGGCCTCACCCTGACGTGACTCACAGGTGGCAGAGGCAGAAAAATCACCTGGTTGATGGGTTTGTTGACAAAAGCCCCCACTTTTCGGGCAAAGATGGTTTCCAAGACATCGTGGGGAGAGGCCCGCCCCTCGCTGCTGTTGGACACAGTTTCGGTACCCTCGCTGGGGAAGAAAGGTAATGTCGATACTCAGTCTCAAACTGCAGCAGAGCCTACCTGGTTCCCCATAAATCCACCCCCTGCTGGGGCTGCAGCCTAGGGCGGAGTCACCCCCTGGGAGACGGCGGTGTGCAGCCTGGCTGCTGCCACTGGCACCCTCCCGTGTGAGTTGAGGGCACGTGTGAGTGAAATCCAGTGTTACAACTGTTTAAATCAGGGGCGTCCAATGGCTGGGAATGTGGCCCGGCACAAAATTGTAAGTTTACTCAAAACATTATGAGATTTTCTTGTGATTATGTGTCACAATGTATTTAATGGGTGGCCCCGAGAAAAAGGACGAGAAAAGGAGCGACGCCCCTGGTTTAAAGCTTATACGAAACACCAAGTAGCTTCAGTTACCACGCACAGAGCAATTGTACACATAGAAAAGCAGCTCCCATAGACTGTAATTTAAATATTAATTACAGAGACAGACTCAAGATTTTAGCTGTTCTCCATCTCCTTATTCTTGTTTTGCTGAGTTAACTAAACATGACATAAGACAATGTAGTTTACAGTACAATATTAAATTCAAGCCTTACCTCATAGGGAATAGTGCCATTATGCCAAGTCAGGAGTCCCAAACCCGACCCTCTAGATAGCCAGAGCTTCCTCCACTGGAGGCTGACCCCCTGGGCTGAGGTTCTCTGAACTCCGCACTGCGTCCCCTCCCCTCATCCCCGGTCACCCCCCTGTTCAGCAGGGCCTGTCAATAGCATACTCCATCTGGTGGTTCCTGCTGACCCCGGTCCAGCCCTCCAGACCGATGCCGAGTCCTGGATGGCAGGAGGGCTCCAAGCAGCAGAAGCAGGGCCCTGTACGGTGGGTGCCAGACCAGTGGTCCCCACCCTGGGAGCAGCAGGGGACAGAAAAACCCCTCTGGCCAAAAGCAGGGGCTTAAGCTGGGGAGGGGGGCTGTGAACTCCAAGTGGCCTCTGGACTCCAGCCAGCAGGGAGGACCCGCACCGCAGCGAGGCCCGAGCGCTGAGCACCTGCATGTAAGAACCTCCTACTCAGGGTCCTCTGCCTTCAGCTCCTCCTGGACCTGCCGCAAGAGCTGAGGCTCAGAAAACTAGCGTTTGAGCTGACTAACAGGCTCTTCCTCATCTAATGATGGGGCGGGGGGTAAGAGGATGAAAGTCTGGGAAGGCAGGAATGAGAGTGCTTATTTTTCCTGATGGATGCCACAAACATTTCATTTTCCAAACAATTCCCCTCCCACCACTCCACTGTGGGAATGAAAAAGCAAAACCCCAAACCCCAGGAATTTCTACCATCCAGAAGTTCATTAGGATGTGGCAGGGCGATCACGTCATCACCTCTGGGGGCCTTCCAGTCGGGGGAGGGCAGGTCAGACGGAGACAGCCTCAGCCTCCCCCGGGGAACGCCGAGTGCGCTGGGAAGAGTGAGCTTGGACAGAAAGCGAGGAGCGGGGCTCGCGCCCGGCCCTTCTGTGAGCTCACTGCTCTCAAACTACTTAATCCTTCTGAGATCCTCTGTCTTTTAAAAGGAGGTAACAGTTGTGATTTTTGCAGGGTGGGATTATGGGAACTTTCATTTTCTACCTAAAAAATGTCTTTATAATTTAAATTTCACAGAACGTATCACTTCTGCAGCCAAAAAAGACAAATTTTTTTTAAAAATTTTAATGAGAAAAAAATAGTTTTTTCTAAAGACTCTGCATGAGGCACTGGCATAGCAGAAGGAAGACACCAACCCTGACTACTATCACAGATCCGCTGCGGCTTCAGACCTCACGGTGAGTGCCCCGTTCTGGTCCTCAGGAGACAAGGAGGGCCCACTCCAAGGGAGTAAGTCTTGGGGTAAAAGGAAAACATCTGACTTACTT